GTGGGCTCCTCCACATCCCGAGTGGGCTCCTGCACATCCCGAGTGGGCTCCTGCACATCCCGAGTGGGCTCCTCCACATCCCGAGTGGGCTCCTGCACATACCGAGTGGGCTCCTGCACATCCCGAGTGGGCTCCTGCACATCCCGAGTGGGCTCCTGCACATCCCGAGTGGGCTCCTCCACATCCCGAGTGGGCTCCTGAACATCCCGAGTGGGCTCCTGCACATCCCGAGTGGGTTTCTGCACATCCCGAGTGGGCTCCTGCACATCCCGAGTGGGCTCCTGCACATCCCGAGTGGGCTCCTGCACATCCCGAGTGGGCTCCTCCACATCCCGAGTGGGCTCCTGAACATCCCGAGTGGGCTCCTGCACATCCCGAGTGGGCTCCTGCACATCCCGAGTGGGCTCCTGCACATCCCGAGTGGGCGTCACAGAAAGCAGGGAACTCAGGAGCAGAGGTCAGGGGGAGGGGAGAGAGCGATGAGGAAGAGAGGGAGTACGAGAGGGATGTGGAGGAGTGTGAGTGGGTGGACAGGTCACTGACAGTGCTTTGTCGCCCTCCACCCTCTACTCTCCCCCCCCCCACTTCCCTCTCTCGCCTCTTGTCCACCCTTGCCCCTGTGCGCCCCACACTGCCCCCTGGTGGCCCGTGGAGGTGCTGCAAGCAGAGGGCCCAGGGAAAGGATGGAGTGAGCGCCAGGCGCGAGGGGCTTGTCATCACAAGAACTGCTCTCCCTGCTCTCGCTGCCTCTCGCTGCTCTCCCTGCTCTCCTCGCCTGAGCTAGTGCCGCCACTGCCCCTCGCACGGCCGCCATCGCTCACCCCTTGCTGCCCTCCTCCTCTCAGCGGCATCTGCTCCACCACCCCACCCTCCGCTCCCGCTCCCCTCTGTCCCCGAACACCGTGCCCCTTTCTGCACCAATCAGATCGCGACGCTGCACTGCCGATTCACCAGCAGCTGCTCCTGCAGGCCCCTCCCTGGCCTCCGCCCCTCCCCCACACGGCCCTTGCTCGCCGCCTCCTCTCCCCTCGCCCCTGCCGTCCGTGCGTCCCCTCCCCTGCACAACATCCTCCCTCATCCCCTCCATTGCACCGTGCCCCACCTGCCACTCCCCTCTCGCCCACCTGCCTCCCGCCACCAGCCTCCCCCCCCCCAGCTGCCGGGCGCGCTGCCTCATCAGATACGCCTCCCACGACGACCCCACTGCTCGCCTCATCGCCTCACTGACACCCCGAGCCTCGCTGCCACCCCTCCTCGCACTCGCTTCCCCCACATGCCCCTCCCCCACCCCCCACTCTCTCCCCCTCTCCCCCGCACCCCCCACACCACCCTCCACCTGCATCTGCCTCAGGCCTGTCCTTTGCCTGCTGCCCTCACCGCCCACTGCCGTCCCACTCTGCTGTGTTCCCGCCTCCCCCATGCCCCCCTGCCCCCATGCCCCCCTGCCCCATGCCCCCTGCCCCATGCCCCCCTGCCCCATGCCCCCTGCCCCATGCCCCCCTGCCGCGTCCCTGTGGCTCCAGACGATGGGCGTGCAGAGGAGGACGAGGCGAGCCAGCGAGCAGCGGAGGCAGCGATGCAACGCCTTCAAAGGAGAGAGAGGGCGCAGCACGGTGGGGTTGGGAGTGGTGGTGAGCAGGGTGGTCGTGGTGCCAGGGCAGGGGGGTGGCGGCATGGATGCGCCGATGCAGCAAGGACGACAAGGACGACGCCGCATGCCATGACGCCGCATGCCCAACATGCCTTGTCTGCTGCTCTCCACGCCACCCCCACTCCCCATCCCTGCTGCTGCCACCACTGCCGCCACTCCTAACCCCCCACCACCCCACTCCCTCCCCTTCCTCCCCACCGCCCTCCCAAGCCCTGCTGCCCCCGCTCCCCTCGCTCCTCTGCGCGCTCATCCCCGGTCCACCAGCCCCGGGGCGCGCGGCGCCCGCATCCGCCTCGGCCTGGGTGGGCAGGCGGAAGCGGCAGACGGGGCAGGAGTTGGTTTGGGCGAGCCAGGGCAGGATGCAGTCGGAGTGGTAGGCGTGGCGGCACGGCATCTGCTGCGTCACGGCCCCCGCCTCCATCTCCTCGTGGCACACCGCGCACGCCGCCATGCCCGCCGCCACGTCCGCCTCGCGCACGATGCGCAGCGGCATGGCCTGCACTGCCGCGCGTGAGGCCGGTGTGTGAGGGCTGGAGGGGGAGGGATGGGCGAAGGGACAGGGACGGGAGGGAGGGGGTGATTCAGGGAGGCGTGGGCCAAACGTGCACAATCGAACCTCGACAGGGTAGCGCCGCTTTGAACTCGCAGCAAGCTCCCTAGAACCAATAGCGTAGCACGAGTAGGTGTGTGTCACTGTTGCTTGAAGGAGGCCTTTCGTACTTGGCGTCGGTGGCGGGGTGCGCAGTGGCAATGCGGTCCACGAGCGCACTGAAGTCGCCCCCGAGGAAGAAGTCGCCCTGCGACCCCGAGAACTCGCCAGCCCCACCCAACGCTGCCCCCGCCCCCGCCTCGGACTGTGACGCCACCGAGCGTGGCGCCATGGCGTCTTCCGTGTTCTCAAGGTCGCTGCCCGCCCTCTGCCATGTCTCCAGAACGGGTGGGGGAGAGGGGGGATGGTCGAGCACGGAAATGGTTAGTTAGTTGTATCATGGGAGAGAGCGCCACAAGGCGCAGCGGCGAATTCAGCCCAACAGGTCCCTGCGCACCTGCTCGTCGCGCTCGTCTCTCCTCCGCGACCTCAACTGCGCGGTCGCCGCCTCCAGGAACGACGACTCCTCCGCCATGTCGCGCAGAAAGCGCGCCAAGCCGTCCTCGCCGTCGCCGTAGTCGCCGAACACGCCGCTGGGCGACTCCCTGCGACCACTCGTGCGATGCTGCGAGCCCAGCGGAAGCACGTCGTCGAGTGAATCGAGCGAGTCTAGCACGAGGCGGCGAGAGGCGTCGCTAAGACGACGAGGGGAGCGGCGTGTGCGGGTGGGAGGGCTGGCGGCGTCGCCGCTAGAGGGTGGGGATGGGGACGCGGAGGGCGACGGGGCGAAAGGCAGCGGTTCAGCGGCCCCCCAGTGGCGCGCAATGGCATGGCTCCCGCCGATGTCGGGCGACGACGACCGCGATGACCCCGGCTCGGCGCGCAGGCGGTCGGAATGCTGCTCGAGCACGGCGCGCATGTCCGCCCACGCGTCGTCGAACGAGGGTCGGCGTGCGCAGAGGGGTGAGCGGCGTCAACGGCGAGCGCGGGCGCGGGGAGCTCCTCGACGAAACCGCCTCCGCACGCCGGGCAGCGCGGGTCGCCCATGACGGCGGCGAAGGGAGGCCGGGCGACGGAGGAGACGGTCGCACACTGATGGCACCAGATGGTGCGCGATGACGACGGCGACGACATGGTGGTGCTTGCAGAGGGGGGAAGGACGAATGCCCTTGGCTCCGCGTGGACTCCCTACGTTAGCGAATCTTCACAATGCTCGTTGGACCAAGCAGAATTCTCTGCACCATTCTACATGACACGGATGAGGGCTGTAGTTGGAGACATGGAAGGCATGGAGCCAAGGGCAGAGGAAGGGGAGGAATGAATTGCGAAGGTATGGTTGGTGAGGTGAGCAGCCCTCCTCATGCTGTGCACAATAGGAATATGGATGGAGCGGAAGGTTGAACCCCCCATCCGAGAACAAGGAGGATACATGAGATGCTAGCCAGCACGAGAAACATGACATCCATGCGATGGGTGACATCCCATGCCATCCCATCCACACGCTCCCAGCCATCAATCGCGCTGATCCGTCCGATAAACCGACTGCCCAAGGTGCTGCAACAAAGCCCTCGGTATTTCACAGAGAGTAAAATCACATCGTTTCCTCGATAATATCTCTAACCATAATCCTGACTCTAATCTGTTTATGAACGCATGCTTTGGTCTAATACCTTACATACACATCCTCCACATTCTGGTCTTGTGTGGGTGAGCTCGAATTTTACATGTGGTGTGTTTTCGACCAGGTGCACTTCTTGAATATCAACTCATGCTCCATTATGTTATATGATATGTAACATACATAAGGGGTGGTGTGCATGCTACTAGAGCCATACCCTATAATGCACGTAGCCACCAAACAGCTACCTCGACCTAACCCATATAGGTGGTGAGGCACACCCTATATGACGAGAGACACAGCGGGACATGATGACTCCACACCTGCGCATGTAATACTGCCATGCCCCATTGCATTCGCATGCTACTCCTGGATCACAGCATTGTGGCATCCTCATGGCGTCCTAATCATCACTGTAGGCGTTGGCCGATCAGATGCTCCCCTACTGCAAGAGGAAGAGGCAAATCCAGCATCAGCAACAGGGAGTCGTGACACTTCACTTGTGATTGGACAAACTGCAGAAGCATCAAGAGCATTACGGTACCTGGTCGCGCTGCTGCTACCTCCCAATAGTATCTGGCTGCTGCTGTGGGTCCGCATCATGGCCCTCTGCGGAATCACCGGTCCCTCCCCGCTTGCTCTCCTTGCCCGCCCAATGCTCTCCACGTCCTCACACTCTGTGGTGGCCGCACACACAATGCATGCCATATCAAACATGCACATGCACACAAACACATGACGTGTTGGAAACATGCGTGCACAAACACATGACACATTGAGCACATGCGCGCACAGACACATGAGATGCCATGAAGAGCATGCAGGTGCAGATTCATACCTAGGCAGAGCAACGCAAGGGAGCGTGGACAGACATCTGGGTTCCTATGTGTCTCAGCCACCCTGCTTCCCTTCTCCCTGCACCCAGCGTCCCTTCCCCCTGCACCCAGCGTCCCTTCCCCCTGCACCCTGCGTCCCTTCTCCCTGCACCCTTGTTCCACTCCTTGCCCCTCCAACTCTCCACCCCCGACATGTGTCTCACCTGCGCCTGCAGCGTCGTGCGGCTTGGCGGCGGACTGGAACTGCTTCTGGTCGGGGATGACGATGGCGGCGTCGATGTTGTCGGGCAGCCCGCGGTGCCGCGCCAGCAGCATCACTAGCACCATCACGAACTTGGCCTCCGTGCGCCACACCCCTGGGAGAGGCCCGTGGGCGGGCGGTGGGGGGTGGAGTGGTGGGATACACACGCATTGGAGATGCTCGCATGTGGTGCCAAGACAACAACTGTGAGAGATGCTAGTAATGTGTGTGTGCATGTGAGAGAGAGGGGGGGTGGAGGGGGGGAAGAGAGGGAAGTGGGGAGGGAGCAGGAGAGTGAGGAGATAGAGCCTAGCATATCAGCAGCAGCAGCAGCAGCAGCAGAATACCAAGAGGACTGACCTGAGAAGCTGTAGGGCGGCGAGACACAGCCAGGGGGGGCGTCTTCTGGACAGGTGTACCCGAGTGAGAACCCCACATTGCCATAGCCACTGTGGTGTTGCCACATGCAGCCATGTGTGCATGCAGACGCAGAGCACCACAGACATTCACAGACACGAAACACAGACACGGGCAAGGAGGCACACGAGGGCGCACATGGAGAGGGGTAAAGAACAGACGAAGCAAAGACAATCTGGGCAACGAGCGTTACACCGAGAAAGGGTTCATTCTCACTTCTATCGGTTGGTCTCATCTCCCCCCCCCACCCACATCTTCCTTCCCACTCGGCGCTTTCCTGGGGACCAGCGAGGCACATCACATGGCAGCCCAGGCGTGGTGGCGCATGATATCTCATGATCTCGAAGATGATGCTGAAGATGGAGAAGCTAGCAGGGTGGACCCCTCGCCCCCCCGGTTCCTTTCTCTCCCCCTCCCTCACAGCGGCAGCAGCGCACCTCATGATCTCGAAGATGATGTTGAAGATGGAGAAGTTGGCGGGGTCGGAGGTGATCATGGGGCTCTCCATGATGCAGACGAGGAAGATGGCGAAGAAGATGAGCGCGGTGTCGTGCAGGAAGAGCTTCTTGCCCTGCGTCAGCACGCCCGCGTCCAGCACGCCCTCCTGCAGGTCCTCGTAGAACACGCCGATGTCCTCGTCGTCGTACACCTCGCGCTGCTCCCTAGACGTCTGCCGCGTCAGGTACACCGGGTACACCGCCACGTTCCTGAACGGGGGGGAGAGAGAGGGGGTGGAGAAGAGAGGGAAGAAGCATCGTGGCGATGTAGAGCACGAGCAGACTTACATCATGGCGATGTAGAGCACGAGCAGACTCACATCATGGCGATGTAGAGCACGAGCAGACTCACATCATGGCGATGTAGAGCACGAGCATGGGCGGCGAGAGCAGTGCGAGCATGACGACGTTGTACCCGGCGGTGCGCGTGCAGATGGACTGGAAGTACCCCACCAGCACCTTCGTGCTGCCTGCTCACAAAGGCGGGGGAAGGAAGTCTGGTTGAGGGTGGAAACGATTACTAAATGCGGGAGACAGATGCACGTGGGACATGTATGGGAGGTGGATGCATCGTGAAAAGCCCCCCCAGTGCGGTCCTTCACGCCCCTCAGTCCCTGGTGCCTGTCCCGCACAGCCCATTCCTATCCCCACACCCTCCCCCCCGCCCATTGACAGTGGCACGCACTGGAGAGGCCGTTTAGAGCGACGGAGCTCCAGTCGAAGACGCAGAAGAAGATGAACTCGGCGCTGTTGAACGCCACCACTGTGGCCACCAGCCACAGCGTGGAGGAGCGTGGGAACAGGTGCGTGTAGCACTTGCGCGGGTGGTCCAGCAGGTACTTGTACACCACCTGCGGGGGAGAGGGGGGGAAGGGTTGGTAGGGAGGACGATGGCGGACGGCAGGCAGAGGATGAATGCAGTGATGCGGGAAAGGCAGACACGTCACGAGCCAAGGTATGTGATGCGGGGAGCGGCATGGTGGGGGACAGCCCTCACCTTGTGACGTGGAGAGCGGCATGGTGGGGGGCGGCGCTCACCTTGTGCTCGCCCTTGGCGGCACGGTGCAGCAGCAGCAGCAGCCCGCGCAGCGTGGGGGCGAAGAGCGTGTTGCCGAGGAGGATGAGCAGCGAGCAGAGCAGCAGCAGCGGCACGTTGCCGCTGAAGTCCATGAGGTTGCTGTTGAGCAGCACCAGCCCCGTGTTGCTGAACGCCGACACCACCTGCCCACCCGCCACCCCAGCACCGTGGAGGGGAGGGAAGAGGAGAGAGGGCTTAGGGCGGAAAGGAGAGGGATGGTGGTGCGCAGAGGAGGGCGGGGACGGTCCAGAGGGGGTGTTCCGTGCAGAGAGGCAGCAAGAGGCGGCAGGCAGCAGGGGGCGTGGCACCTGGAAGACGGAGAAGAACACGGGGCTGACGCCGTTGCTGTCCATCACCTGGCGCACGGCGGGCGACACGTGCACCAGCACCAGCATGAGCACCACAGCCACCGCCTGGATCGCCACGAAGTACAGCGGCACCAGCCAGCTCAGAGTCTCCAGCGCCCTGCCATGCACACACACGCAGGTGGTGGGGGGCAGGTGGGCGAACGGGGGTTGGGGATGGGTGGATTGGGTTGGGGAAGCGGACGAGTGAAGAGAGGGGGAGGGTGAGGGAGAAGGGGCCCTGAATCAGGATGGCGAGACGGGCTGTTGGCATGGTGGCAGTGCGGCATGCATATCGCAATGCGGTGCAAATTTCAAGTACACAAGGCATTCAGCCAGGGCAGTGAGCAGCAATCGCCAGCATCGGCCACCACAACCATCAGCCGCGTTAGCAAGTCCCACCCCTCACTTCTCCACCCCTTCCCTGCCCACCTCAGCTCCAGGAACCTCCGCTCGCCCGGGCCTATTGGCAGCAGCTCAGAGTCAGCGCCAGCGCTGCCGCCCTCCACGTCGTCCGTGCGCCACGTGCTGGACGACAGCGTGCGCTGGAGGAACAGCCCCGGGCGATGCCCCGGCGTGCTCTCGCGCTGCTGCTGCTGCTGCTGCTGCACCTTGAGAATCTCCAGCGCCAGCTTCAGCCGCTGCCCCTCTGCCCGCGCCACGTCACCCGACCACGTGTGCCACGCGTTCTCCTCCCCCGCCTGGTAGCGCCCCGACAGCGGCCCCACCGTGCGCTCCAGCGCGTCCTCCAGCCCGAACGCCCTCCGCGGGGTCCACGTTGGCCGCGTCTGCGCGCCCCCCGGGCTGTCCCACATACGCCGCTCCCCCTCCCCCGCCCCGACCGCGGCCCGTGCTGGCTGCTGTCCAGACGCAGCGCGTCCATGTCAGCGCGAGCAGTTCTCGGACCATTCTGGCTGGAGTCTAGCCGCGTGGTATCCACGTCGGACCCAGCTGGCGCGTCGTTAAGGGAGTCACTGGGGCGCCGTCCCTCCCTCTGCTGGTGCCATTAGACCCAATCGGCGACACCTTCGCCGGTTCACTGTAAACGCGGGTGACCCTGTCTGTAAACGCCGGTGACCCCTCGGCCTTATTTCCAGAAATAGCAATTTCGCGGGTGGCAGTCCCCCTTTGGTCTTCGGACGCGCGCTGCTGCTCCTCCTCAAGCACCCCGAGCCCCTCACCGCCCTCGCCTTCCTCTCTCGCATCCACCTCCCCCCGCTCCCCGCTGCGTACTGCGACCGCAGGATCGCTCCGCCGGCCGCCACGCGTGACGTAGCCCTCGCGGTAGAGATACCGGTGGAAGAAGAATCGACGGACGTAGACGGGGACGAGAGACGTTATGACCTGGCTGCCGATGATCATGAGCAGTAGACGGAGAACGTTGCCTCCGTCAGAGAACATGTTGACGTCGACGCTGATCATCCCCGTGAGGCACGTGGCTGACGTCACGCTGTACAGTGTGTCAATGAAGCTCATCTTGCCGGCCGGGCCGCCAGGAATGAGGTACATGATAATGGTGCCGATGAGGATGACTATAACGAAGCAGAGGACGTGGAGGCGGTAGAAGGTGACGTGTCGGCGGAACCACGGCGGAAGCTTCACTTGGAAAGCCCAGTCCATCCATGACCGTTCGATCTCGTGCCATCGGTCGACTGAGAAGTATTTGCGGATGGACGCTGCGAAGGTCGACAGCCGCTTGCTGCCCGGCCATGGGGGAAAGAGCCTGCTTCCGCGCGAAGCAGTCTGTTGACCGTTCGCGGGTCCCCCGGATTTCCGCGACGAGCGAGCTTTTACAACTGACGGCTCACACGAGGATCCTTGCTGATCTCGCCGGCCCTTCGCGTCCCTGAGTTCGCAGTGGCTGGACTCCGGGTCCTTGCGAGTCGGACAGTCATCGCATGCAGCCTCATTCACTTCGCGTAAAGCGAGTCGTGAGTCGGCATTTAGTGAAGGTTGATGACCGTTTTCCGCGTCGGCAAGTATCCTATCGAGCGGCTCTGTAAGCTGGCCGTCAGCCATAACCCTAAAGGACGCCCAGCGGAGTGGCGGCTTCAAGCTCGCGGAGGCCGTGAATGGGTGTTACCACGTGGCCATGGATTTCAGACAAATGCTTGATAGGTGGACGAGTGTGATGAGAGCGTGAGGGGGAGAACATACTCTGCAGCATGAGGCACAACAGGCGAGGGAGGGATTCGCTCAGGGTGTCAGAGTGGGGGGCAGTGTCGCACGGGGAGTCGTCGAGTGTGCTAACATCGCCAAGCCAAGCCCTGCCGTTTCGCCAACCGCACGTCAGGTCGCACGGCATGCCCAAGGGTACACTTTCGCACGGCCGGCCAAACCCACCACGCAATTCCTGAAACTCGATTGGCTGGGTGGCATGGCATGGGTCCTTCCTTCCTGTCACTGCAGGAGCATGCCGCCGCAGGGATAAAGCGACCACACAACTGTAGCGACGCGGAACACACGTCAGCGAAAATCCCAAGGCTCACTGATGCCCTCAATAACGCACATTATATACAACCATAGCACTCTCAATGTAGGCACTCGATGAAGAATAAAGAAAATAAATACTTAAAAATGGTTCTTTTCTTAGGATTGAATAATGAAAAGTGTTGTACCCTCTAAGAGGTGACCCTATACAGTCTATACAAACATTAGAGATACACATGTTTGACACACCCCCTAGACTGCATAGGGGCAGGTCTTGAACAAGCAGCTCAGGGCGGCACTACTAGTCCAGCCTCTGAGACAAGGGTCTAAAAGACCAGTCAGAAGGAGTACAGACAAGGCAAGAACAAGACCAGGGCGGCACTACTAGTCCAGCCACTGGGAGAGGACACAAGTCCTGTCTGAGTACACATACAAATGACAGTACAAAGTCAATGCCCTAGCAAGTGAGAGGCTACAGGAACTAGACCAAGCTGTACACAGTGCCGCTGATAATCTTTAGGCGCAAGCGCCTTCGTAAAGATATCAGCTGTGTTGGCACCTGAGGCCAAGTGTACTACGCGAGCCTGGCGTCGCTGCTGAAGCTCACGCAGGAGGAAGTACCGCAACTGAATATGCTTCGCTCTGCCCTCGAGTCGAGGCTCCTGACACAGGAGGATCATGGCCCTGTTGTCAGCGTACAGGACCGGGGCAGAGCTAGGCCACTCACCTAAGTCAGTGAGTAAGAAGGTCAGCCAGCGGAGCTCCTGTGCCGCCATGGCACCGGCGTAGATCTCAGCCTCACAGCTGGATTGGGCAACAGACGAGGAGCGGGTAGCTCTCCACGAGACGGCACCTGAACAAAGGCTGAACCAGTAGCCCTGGGAAGACCTGAGTGTCTCGGCGTCGTCTGCCCAAGAAGCGTCTGTGTGTCCAGTAAGGACCACTGGCCTGCGTCCTCCTAGCACTAACCCCATGCCCGATGTACTTGCAAGATAACGCAGAACCCTCTTAGCGGCAGACCAGTGCTGCGGTCGGTGTCTGCCTGTGGCCACAAAGCGAGCCAGGATGCTAAGAGGGTATGTGAGATCTGGGCGAGTGCAAGTCATCAGGTACATGAGGCAACCCACCAGCTCACCGTAAGGACCACTGGGCTCTACTGACTCCTCAGGAACTGGAGCGGAGAGTCTCTGGTCTAGAGGCAGAGGGGTGAGCTGTGCAGAGGAGAACTGAAGGCCGAACCTCTGAAGGACCTCGCGCACCAAGTGTGACTGAGTCAAGGTGATGGTGTGCGCTGCTCTGTCTCTGGAGATCTGCAAGCCAAGGTAACGGTGCAGTTCTCCAAGGTCAGTGCAAGTGTGTCTCTTCAGCAGCTCTGCCTTCACGGAGGCCAGTGCGTCCCTGTCTGCTGTGGCAAAGACCAGATCGTCCACGTAAACAAGGATGTAGAACGGAGTCTGGCCAGCACGAACGAAGAGTGAGGGGTCTGCGGAAGACGGAAAGAACTGCAGGTCAGCAAGGGTAGCATGCAGTGTGTCGTGCCACTCATGGGGAGCCTGTCGCAGGCCGTAGACGGGACGCCGCAAGAGCCACTGGGTCACAGGAGGGAAGGTGCTAGTAAAGCCTTGACGGCGACGCAGGTAGACCTGCTCGTGTAGGCTGCCCTGAAGGAAGGCAGTCGAGAAGTCGAAGGAGTGAAGCTCGTAGTCACACTGAGCAGCTAGGTGTAACAGAACCCGAAGAGTAGTCATCTTCAGGGTCAGAGCGAAGGTCTGGAAGAAGTCCACCCCCTCACGCTGACTGAAGCCTCTAGCCACATAGCGCGCCTTAAACGCAGGCGGCTCTCCAGGAGGGCGCTTCACCTTGAAGAGCTAGCGGCCATCGACTACGTTCACCCCAGGCGGGGGAACTGCGTCGACGAAGGTGCCGGTGGATCTCCAAGATGCCATCTCCTGCTCCATGGCAGCTATCCACTGAGAGGCCCAGGGTCCCGAGGTCGCCTCAGCGTAAGTGCGAGGGGTCGGGATGTCGAAAGCGTCTAGGTCACCCTCAGGGACTAGCAGCATGGAACAGAGATGGGGAGCAGCCTCGGAGAGGAAAGCAAGCTCGAACTGGCGGTCCTCCAGGACTTCACTGCCGAGGGCAGGAGCACCCCCGACCGACGGAGGACAGGCAGGGTCAGAGACCAGAGCGGTGGCGTAGTCAAGGCGGCGGGTAGAGGCGAAGTCAGCGACCGCAGCGACAAGAGCGTCAAGACACGAGACCGGAACAGACTGGTCGGTAACGAGAAAGGCAAGGACCCGAGGAACAAGAGGACGAGCGGCACGAAGGTAGTCAGACAGAGGAGGAGGCGCAACGGTAAGAGAGGACGGAGGAGGCGACGGTAGAAGGGGAGGACGAGACGCGTGGGAACGGAGCAACATAGGGTGAGAGCGCGGGACAATGGAGACAGGACGAGCGCGGGAGGTACGGCGGGACCAGACATGAGACAGAGGCGTCGGGTCAGGAGACAGAGGAGGGGACACAAGGGGGGAGCTAGGGGGAAGACGAGCCGGGGACGAGTCCGGCGGAGGGAACACAGGGCCGTAGACAGGAAGAGGAGGAGACGGCAGGAGAGAAACAGACGGAGGGTCAGGGGACGGAAGGCTGAGCAGGCGAAGGGCGGACACTGGCGGGGACTGCTGCTGCGGCGGCACAACACCAATACCGGGACCGCAAGCTGCTCCGCGGCTACCTCCGGGACACTCCACTCCGGCACCCCCAGAAGGAACACCCCCAGAGCTCAAAACCCTCTGAGCACCAGTACCACCCCCAGGGTCACCGGGGCAGGCCACAACAGGAACCCCAGAACGAGCACCCACCCCAACGCGGGCACCTCAGAGTCGAGGAACTGCTGCTGCGACGGCGGCGGCGGCGGGAACGACGGGTGCGGCGGCGACGGCAGCGGAGACGACGGCTGCGACAGCAGGGGCGACGGCGGCTGCAGAGGCTGTGGGGGAGGAGACACCGGGGGAGGGGCAAAGGGCGAGGACTGTGCCGCAGGACCACCGGAGTCAGAGGAATCCTCGACCGGGACAATTGACGGGAGAGGGGTGACGTGGGACACACCAGAGGGGGCATGACGGGGAGGGGGAGGGGGGGAGCTGGGACCACCGGGGAAGGAGTGACCAGGAACAGGGGGGGAGTAACCGCGGGACCGCGGTGGGGGAAGCGACGGTAGAAGGAGACGGACTCGTCAAAGGTGACGTCACGAGAGTGAAAGAACCGGTGAGACGGCAGGTGGTAGAAGTGCCAGTCGGACGCGTCAAGGGGGAAACTGAGGAAGACACAGGGAAGGGTGCAAGCCGTGAGCTTGTCCGTGCCAGAGGCACGAACGTGAGCAAGGCAGCCCCAGATGTAGAACGCGGACGCGTCACAGGAGACCCGGTCCAAAGAAGGGTCGGCGAAACCTGCGGCCGCTGGGAGTGCGGCCACAGGTTAAGCTGGTGAGCAGCGTAGCGCACGGCGAACGGCCACAAAAAATGGGGTGCACCGGCATGGATCATGGAGGTGCGAGCCACCTCCATGACCAAAGCGATGTGTCGCTCAGCGTCCCCATTCTGCTGCGGGGAGTCCGGCAGGGTGAACGTCTGGGTGATGCCCTCTGCACGACAGAAGCGACCAAGGACACCTAAGGCAAACTCGCCACCACGGTCTGAGTGAAGACGCAAGACAGGGAGACCTCGCTGGACACGCGCAGAGACAAGCCAGGGGATGAGAGCGGCAGGCACGTCGGCCTTGCGCTCCAGGGGAAAGACTGTGGTGTAGCGAGTAGAGTCGTCGACAAGCACTCTCGACGCGGCCCATGGACGGGGGCGGGGCCCCAGGCGTCCATGTGCAGGGTCTGCAGCGGCGCGGCGGTAGGGGGAAACGAGGAGGAGTGAGGGGCACGGCAAAGCCGACCCTCGAGACAAGGCGTGCAAGGAGGGGCGGGGGAAGAGGGAAAAGCGGGGAACGAGCCAGGGAGACCAAGGACGAGACCGTGCTGGGACATGTGACGCAGACTCGGGAGCGCAGGGTGACCTAAGGGGTGGTGCCAAAGGAGAGTCGGGTGAGTGAGGGACCGACAGGAGCAGGCAGCAGCAACCTGGGAAAACGCGGCCACCTGAAGGGGCGCCCCAGCCGGGGGGGGTCACGGTGTCCAGGGTGAACAGGCCAGACACTGGATCCCGGGGAAACGTGGACAGGGGGGCACCAGTGGCAGCCTCTGTAAAGACAGCATACCTCTCGTGACCAGGGAACGTAGTGGTGACGCCAAGGTCCTAGAGGCAGCTGACACCAACTAGGTTCTTGGAGAACGAGGGGATATGCAGACCTGCGAGAGAGCCCGAAGGAACCGCCGGACAAGGAAGGGTGGTGGAACTGCGAGCGACGACCGGACCGCCGGAGGGGTCAGCAAGAGAAACTGCAGCAGGAACAGGAAGCGGCGTCAGCGTAGTAGAGTCGCGGAAGAAACACCGGGAAGCGCCAGAGTCCAAGGTGAAGGAAAGCGAAGCAGTGGCGTCTGGCGACGGGGCGACGGCGGAAGCACCAAGGCTAAACAAAGCAAGAGCTCCTATGCCTGACGCAGCAGGGGAGGCTAAGCTAGGCACACCTACACTAGGCGACAAGGAGTAATAAGAGAGGAGCACACTAGAGTCATCAGCATACATCATATGCAGAGCTGAA